AGTTGGTATGTTCAGACCTTGAAGAGTTAGATAAAGGGCCCACAGAGCAATTGCAGTGATTGCTCAAGTGAACAACATAAGAGGGGTAGAATGACAGTAACCAATTCAAGGGATCCTTTGAAATGGAAAAAACAAGTTTCTGTGCAACATACCGCCACATGCATTCATCTGTGCCAGTGGAGAGCAAAGAATTTGATGGAGACAAAATGGCAGGGCAGGGATTGGAGTTATAGAATACCAGCACTTAGGCATTTGGAGGTTTCATTTTCCTTTATTTTGATGCCTCTATTTAGTCCCTCAAGCATGCATGCAGACTCCAGCAGCTCTGGTATCTAGCCCCTTTAGTCAAGAAAGGGCTTGTGAACGGATCTGGTAAGAGGGTTCCTGACCCACATCATGCTTATCAGCATGCCCTACAAAACTAAGAGTTTTCAGTATCAATCTGATGACACCAGCAGTGCCTGAAAGATCTGATTCAAAAGCATGTGCCACCATTAGCTGTGCTTTTTGCCTTTACTGTTTCCAGTATGTTGCTGAAGACCAGCCTGTTAGGTTGGTGCGCTCCACACACTCTCTGAGAACGGAATATTTCAGGTGGCACAACATAGTTGTTTAGAAGTTAGGATTTGCTATTGTATCACCTGGGTCCCACCTAATGCCTTGCCAGTATGTAGGTTCAAAAAGAGTAACTTTTTGACCTTGGGCTGGTGCTCCTACTCTCTGTGCTTAAGGTTCTTATATAGCCAAAGGCACAGCAGCAGCATTGGTTGTATAAGCTTCTCTGAGGATTAAAGAAAACAGTATAGACTCATTCCAATGCTTTAAGATGTGTATTATTAGGGATGTTTCTCTTTACTTTCTAATTCCTCATTTTTTTTTTTTTTTAACTAAGCTTCTTGGAAATCCAGTGTCAAAAGTTTGGTTTAATGGCCTCTCAATGAAAGACTGCCTTATTCATTTTACATTCCTTAATACAGCATATAGAAGACTATTTTATAATATATTGGATGCAGTCACATAATAGATTAAATTCTTTCTTTTTTTAATTTAAATTTGCAACAAGCTTTTTTTACATGTCAATCCCAGTTCCCTCATCCTCCCCTTCTCCCCTGTCTAAAATTCTGTTTTCTTGTAAGTATCCTGTAATCTTGTGTGGCTTGACTTGGTTCAGGATGCTACCAAGGTTTGAAACAGCATTGTTATAATTTAAGTCGGTCATAGTACTGTTTTGGCCTTCTCCGACAAGAAGGTACACTCTACACATAGCACTTTCTAGGGCATATGCAGCAGCATCAGAAGCAGCCATTTAATACACTAGCTGTAACTTTACCTGTATCTCTTCTGTTTTAGTGTGTACATTATTAGGCAAACAGTAAAGAATGACCAATCATAGGATCATTATCAATCTACTGTAAAATTAATTACCCACTATGATTAGAGTTGTGCTATGTGCTGATTAGATCAAGCATCATCTTCAAAGGAGCCTTCAAAGCCAACATCTTTTATTTCTCACCACTTTCTAATCATGTTGTCACCACTAATGATCCCACCTGAGTTCCCAAGCCTGGAGTTGACAGCTAGGGTGACAGGAGACCACAAAGCTTCCATACAACAAAGGAAACCATTGACTGAATGAAGAGACAGGCTGCAGAATGGGAGGAAATCTTTAACAGCAACACTTCAGACGGGGAATCAACACCTAAATTAATAAAGAACTGCTATGAAAAAGATCCCAATCAATAAATGAGGCAAGGAACTAAACGTAACTTTCTCTAAAAAGGAACTACAGACCTAGCATGTCGCTCGCTGAGTTTGCATGACATCCTGAGTTCAACTCTCAGCACCGCAGCAACAGACAAGCAAACCCTGGATACGTTAGCATAGCTAAATTCAGGAGGATCAGAGATTAAAGGTCGTAATGAGTTTGAGGCCATCTGGAATATGTTGAACTGTTTCAAAGAAGAAACAGCAGAAGGAGGAGGAAGAAGGAAGAGAAGAGCATTGAGGAGAAGCAAGGGAAGGGGACCACGTGGAGGAGGCAGCTGGAGTGGCTGCACCAGCACAGCCATCACTGTTGGCAAAAGGTGTTCAACCCCAGCCATCTGGGAAACAGCTCTGAGATGGCGGCTCACCACTGTAAGAATGGCCAACATCAAGAAAACTAACCAGTGCTGGTGAGGATGTGGGGAAAGAGAAATAAATCCCTTCTCACTGCTGCTGGTGGAAATGTCAACAAGTGAAAACACTCCAGCAATTAGCACAGACATTTCCCAAAAACAGCAAGAAAGAATAGAACTGCCATATGACTCTCTTACACCACTCATGTACATCCACCCAGAGAATTCACAGTCCTACCATGGAGATATTGCAAATCCTTATTCACTGCTGCCCTATACACAATAGATAAGAAAGGGAACAAGCCTGGATGAATAAGAAACTGCAGCTGACTTTAATCCCAGCACTTGGGAGGCAGAGGCAGGTGGATCTCTCTCAGTCTGAGGTCAGCCTGGTCTGCAGAGTGAGTTCCAGGACTGGCTCCAAAGCAATACAGAGAAACCCAGCCTCGGTAACCAAAAACAAAACAAACAACAAAAATAGAAACTGGAGCATTTATATAAAAATCGAATCAGAACACTTACAGCAAAATAGATGGAACTAGATAGCATTCTATCAAACAAAGTACCCCAGACTCGGGAAGACAAATAATACATTTCTCTCCCATGTGGATCCTATATTTTAATTTTTATACATTTACAAATGTTTGTAGCGACTGCAGATTATGAAACTAGAAAAGGGACTGTGGGGGGTCTTAAGAAATGATTGGGGAAGGGAAGAAAACGAGTGATTAAACAGATGTGGCGTGAAAACAAAGCGTGCTGTAGGAGGGAAGATGTAGGTGCGGGCAGGGGGATGAGGAAGAGAGTGTGGGAAGAGGACCGAAGAAAACAAAGTGTGTGTGATAACCTCATAATTAAGCCTATTGCTTTATTTCCTAATTGAGAACATCTTCTTTTTAAAATCTTTGTTTACTTGAATTCTCTACTTTTTATCTTTCTTCAGTTGGTGGTGGGGGAGTGTTGTTATTGTTTCTCTTGTAGCATTGAGGTTTGAACTCAGGACCTTGCCCATGCTAAGTAAGCGATCTACCCCACACCCTCAACCCAACTGACCTTAAAAAAGAAAGGCTGCCATTCTCATCTAGTCTGTGATGGCAGGTTTTCTCACAATCCTCTGAATGGCATTGCATGGATGTAGGTACAGGGAACTTAGAAAAATCACAGGCAGAGGAAGGCAAAAGAGATTACACAAACAAGCAAGCAGTAAATGCAATACAGTGAGAGGCGAGTGATAAATGAGACTTGTTCTGAGGAAAGAAAACACTAAGACCTCGCAAAGCAAGTGGCAAAAGAGCCAAATCTTGAAAAACTGAAGAGGAGCCAGACTGGAAAAGGCATGATGCACACTCTGCAAATGATAACTTACATAAAGGAATATGAGAAAAGAAGGCCCTGTTCACTGTTGAAATATAAATAGCTCTAGAAGTCGGGAACTCCGGCTTCATGGAGGAATGCCACAGGGCTGGAGAAGTGGGAGTTAATGGCCCAGAGGTCATTGGCGGGACTTTCAGGACTTCATTCCACTTGCCATATGACCCTTGGAAAGCCACCTGCCCCAACGCAATGCTGAGTCGAGTTTCTTCGTAACTCTCCTCCTTAGCAGCAGTCCCTAGGAACGCCTCATCCTTTCTGTATAGGCTGGCTTAGTTTGTTGGAGGCAGGAGACTCCCAATCCCTCATCCCATTTAGCACCAAGGCTGCCTGGATTTCTCTCTTTATTTCCCAGGTGTCTCTCAGTGTTCAGTAAGACCCCTCAGGCTCCTTACAGTGAAGCTGTTTCCCAAGAGGAAAACATGAATTGCTGCGAAACTTCTCAAGGGTTAAGCCCAGAAGGCACTTGACTTCCTGTCCTCTGTACTGAAGTGGTCAAAGCAAGGCAAGATCAACCTAGCTTCCATAAAAAGGAGAAACAGACCCAGTCTCCTTCCAGAAAAAGAAAAGAAAAAAAAAATAAAAGAACTTGCATTTGCCATAAGTCTTTGTGTTTATACTGTTTTCTTATTTTGTATTGCTGTTTCTACAGATAAACCAGAAAGATCAAAAGAGACTTCCAGAAAAATAGTCTGCCTCCTATTTCCAGAGGCTTTTCCTGTGTCAGTGTGTGTGTGTGTGGACATTTCATTTCCATGGAAACTGAACACGCTTGACTTTTGCCTCCAGTCCCCACTTCAGTCATCTGCAAGAGCATTGCCTAGGAAAGTGGCAATGAAAATATTTGCATAATTATTATGCTACTGAAGTCCTGAATCTATTTCAGGAATAATAATTTTAATATATAGGTAATTGTAACTCGAGAAGCAAAGGATAAAGACCCGATACATATTAATGCTTCTTAGGACAGAGTTCTGGAGTCCAGGAGGGCACGAGAGGAGGTCCTTCTGGTTTTCTAGAGGCTTGCATAGCCATTTCATCCAAGAGTTTCTAGATCCAGGAGTATGATCTATAAAACAAATGGTCTCCCTTTATTGTACACACGGATGATGCTGGAATATGTTTCCTATATGCCAGGGTTGGGCATGCTCCCAGCATCCCTAATGCACAGTACTGTGGTAAGCACCAAGATGATATCGTCCTTCTATATCAGCCTCTGGAGTACAGTGCTTGGAAGGGAGCCAGGTTCCCATGCAGAGGCTCGATATCATAACCAGGTGTTGCTTTATCCTCATTATGTGAGCAGATTAATTAACCATGTTAAGCATTAGTTCCCATTTCTACAAAGCCTCAGTAATAACTGTACAGTCCCCCAGCATCGCTTCAATGGGTTACAATAGGTAGTATTCACTGTCCTTAACTCAGTACTTCCTATGAGTTATCAATAGAATTAACTGCTGTTGTTTTCACGAACGTCCTGCTGACTCAGATGTGTTTCTGTTCATTTCTCAGGGAGATGTTAATCTCTGTGGCTTTGGGCCAAGTGTTATCCCTTCTTGTTTGTGGAATCGGCTTGACCAGCAAGTACCTGGCAGAAGATTTCCATGCCAACACACCAGTCTTCCAGAGCTTTCTGAACTACATCCTGCTCTTCTTGGTCTATACCACCACCCTAGCTGTCAGACAAGGTAAGCTGTCCCTAAGCCCAGGAATATGATGTTTACAAACACATAGAATAATGTGAGCCATGGCTGGATATCATTTTATGAATCTGTGAGATGATTCCAAGTCCCAGATCTCATTTTGTTATTTTGCAGTAACACTAAAAAGAGAATGAATGACTGTGTCACAAAGAAGTATGCATTGTGTGCAGTCAGCAAGAAGTAGGAAATATATGCATTGCAGAACAGTACAATTACTCATAATTTGAATTCCTTTTAAGGTTTTTGATCCTCTTGACGAATCTAAATAGAGTACCTCCTGCAACCCGGAACAGACCCAATGCAGCTGTCCTAAAGAAGCCAGTCCTGAGCTGTTGGAGGGAGCTGCAGACAGACACATGTTCTGTAGGAGAGTGACACAAATATACATGTAAACAGCTCGAGTAATAATGCAAGAGGAATGAAAGAACAGGAGGCTCCCACAAATGGCCAGGTGTAGTCCTTTTTAAAATTTAAAATAAATAAAGGAATAAAGCAAGCTTTCCAAGCATCAATATAAGATAATGCCCTTTAAAAGAGCACATCCTAGAGGCCGTCAGAATCTCATGACTACACTATCAAACTTGATATAACCCTTTACCTATAGCCTTAGAAAAAGCCAAAAGTTCCTCCTGAAACTTAGCTGTTGATCATGATCCACTGAAAAATAATCATTAATTGGTTAAAAACATTCGTATAGTCTAATAACAAACAAGAGCATGTATATATTAGTTTTAATAATTATACTCCTTGAAACTTTTATAAAAATCCATCGATATTTCATTCTTGCCCTTGTTTGGATTCCTCTCTGGATTAGGACTGCTGCTCAGTTATAATGACTTAGCCAATACTATACTTCATCTTCGAAGAGAGTAGATCACAGGCTGCTGGGGGTAACTTAGTTGCTAAAGGGCCTTCTTTGCAAGTGTGAGGCCTTGTGTTCATATCCCCAGAACCTACCTAAAATTCTGGGCATAGCTGCATGCATTCGAATACCACCACTGGGGAGGCAGAGACAGGCAAATCCTTGGAGCTCTCTGGCCAGCTGGCTGAGCAGAACTGACAAGTTCCAAATGTGGCAAAACACTCTGTCTCACAAAGTAAGTTGGAGAGTAATTGAGCATGGTACCTGATGTCAATCTCTGAGATTTACATGTGTGTGCACGCACATGCGTGTCTACACACCCACACACAGATACACCCACACTCACACACATACAACTACCTATACATATGTATGGACACACCCACACAAGCACATATATAACTCCCCCACACACACACTCACTCACACATTCAGTCACACACACACACACACACACACACACATATACACACACACACACTAGTACTACACTAGTACTCAAATGATTGTCCTAATTTAATTTCCTAAATTAAAACCTAATTTAATTTGCTTTCCCTAAGGTAGTGTTACTTGAGGTTTTTTGTTTGTTTTGCCTTGGTATCAACAGCTGTAACTACTTTTAAGAGTAAACCGTCAGCCTTCAAAAGTTACAGACCCTGCAGCTCAGCTACGTTTCCTCAGTGTGAGTTGGAAGCAGATGAAGTTGAATATAAGTGTGTTGTCCAGCAGTTGTCACACTGTTTCTTGAATGGTGCTTCAAGCCAGGAAAAGACTCCAGGAAGGGAGACAATGGGGGAGGCATACAGTTAGTAACTCATTTCTGAGAAACTGTGAGGCTCTGTACAAAAAGGAGAGATACTGGATGAATATAAAAAATTCATTTGATGTGAGCTTGAATCAACATTAAAAAGAATAGTATTATTTAACTCAGTATAAGGAGTATAATTAATCATAATGAGATTAAATTGGGAACAATTTTACAATAGCTCAATACTGTAAAAAAAATTCATGCAAAAATGGTGAATTCATTTTTTGTGATCTTTAAGCATCACTGGATGTTGAGATCTCAAATTGTTTCTTCTCTTTGGATTCTTGTCTGTATTATTTTCTAAAGTCCAGGGATTTAGTAAGAGTCTATATCTAGGACAAATAAGCAGATTAAAAATCAGAAAGAATGACTAGAACAGTTGTAGGTAGAAGCCATAGAATGAATGTATGAAAAGACTCAGGGTTAATAGTATTAATAACGCCATTGACGTTATAATGTGCCTGCTGCAGTGTATGTGACATCCCTTCTTACTCCTTCAATCTAAGAAAGTAATTATCATCCAAGATTTCATAAGTGAGACACCAAGAACGCTGTTCAAGTGCGTGCTTGGAGGAGGCGGGAGCCATGAAGGGCAAAGGCTGGGGAGGGGGCATTGCCTAGAGGGCCCATGTTTCTTCCCATGGAGTTCAGGGGAGGCAGAAGGACAGGTGGGAGGCCCTTTATAAAAACAAAGAAGGAGGCAGTCATGTTTCTTGAATTCGAAAACCCTGAAGAGGTGTAGTCTAGTGAGACACCGCAATTAGACCAGGACGAGGTCTCACAGAGTATGGGAGGAGCATCAGGGTGGGCAAGTCAGAGGAACAAAAAGGCTGAAGACTGGGCAGGAACTTGGAGGCACTTTAGAAGGAAAGACTAAAGATTGCTGAGGGAAGCCTGTCTTCTCGGTCAGTGGAGGAGAGAGTCAGTTCCCACAATGCAGTGCTCTTTCTGGAGACTTTTCCCATCGTCCTCGATGACCACGGAACTTGCTTGAGTGTCTGTATTGGGTGTTTACTCACAATGTTTGTTTTACGTTTCATCTTTAGAGTTTTAATAGGCTGACATTAAGCTAACATCTGGAAATTAACATAGTAATTGCATTAAGTTTGTGTATGCTGAGTCACTTTGATGTTCTAGAAACATAACCTTTGTGTTCAGGATCTTCATGATTAGAAGTCTGTGGGTAAGGGAGTCTTTTACAACCAGTCTCTCCTTCCCCAGCATTCCTCACAGTCTGCAGGTAGGGTAAATTCCTGACCTTCCCATCTCTCCAAGCATGAATATCACCTACCTAGTTGGGCCTCTATATATGATATGCATGCATTGGACCACTTGACAGTAAGTAGTTTTCTGGCTCTATTTTATTTTATTTTTTAAACAGATCTCTGTCATTGTACTCAGCTTGTAAAACTTACAGTTGTCAAATCTTAAACCCTCTGAGAATATTTAAGCTTGATGTCACTGTAAGTAACCTTGCCAAAAATCTGACTTCAAGGGTAGGGCAAATTCTCCCCATCAAATTTACTTTAGATCAATGTCCAAAAGATGTGGAGGTAGCAGGTTCCTGTGTAGACTCCAGCAAAAGTAGTTGTGAACTTGCCCTTGGGTATTAACCAATTCTTGGGAAAACGTGAGGGTTGTTGTCTTTTAAAATAGTGTGGCTTGCTAAACAAATTCTAAGTGTGGCCTGAAAGGCTGAAGCTATGCTTTCTTCCAGTTGGTTCTGAAACTGAGAAGATAACTACTGTTCATAGCAAAGCTTTTCGGTGATGGAATACCACAGAAATAAGTGTAGTTTGCACCAACGTGTCCAGCTCGAGAATGAAAGTAAAATTGAGCATGCTGTTACTTGAACCACACTAACGACGCTCAAATTCCCAAATATTGTCTATAAATGCTTACTTTCATTTAAATGGACTTGGTTACATAAAGTAAATAAATAAACAAAGAAAGAAAGAAAGAAGTATTTGGGAAGTGAAATGTGTCCGTCCATAAAGAAACTGGAAAGCACGTTAACTAAGAAGGCAAGTGAGGGTTCAAACCCTGGCCATGAAGACTCTCCTTCATCTCCACAGCCTTCATTCCTTCATATTCCAGGCAACATTAGCTGAAATTCAATAACCGGGAGCCATAAGAAGTGTGAATACCGTGCAACAAGGGAGGGTAGGCTGGAGTTCTACTGAAGACTGCATGCTTGCTCTAGTCAGACAGAAGCAAGAAATATGACCACTTTTCAAATTAAAAGGGACATGGGATACATTTCTTACCAAGAAATATTTATCACCATCAATTTTTTTGTTTGCCCCAAATCATCTTTTACTGGTTATAACTGTTTCCCAGAGTGCCATCAGTGCTTCCTCAGCAATAAATGAAGCTAATTTATTTACTACCACTTTTCTATATGTGTACCTAATTAAGGGAAATGAAGAACGTGAAGGGAAGATGGGCTGCTTAGGGAGGAAGAAAAGCACATTCGTCCTTCAGCTGTGGTGTGGAAAAGGACATGGAAGCCTGGACAGAGCCAGAGGTGTCGGCCACTGTACCGACCCTGGAGTGCCCTTCAGTGCTCCTTGTGACAGATCTTACAAGGGCTGCTTTTTCATTGACAAGGATTTCTTTAAGGTCTTCCAATTTTGAATAAAAAAAAAAAAACAATCTAGTTAAAACAGTTCAATAAACAGCTGATTCTTGAAGATAGACTTTCACATAGTTTCTATCATGTCTTGCATTGTGTGTGTGCGATGAGTCTCTAATAGTATGATGTAACACTCATAAGCAAGTCTTAAAGTATTCACATAGTTAAAAAAATAATGTAGAAGGTCATCTTCAAAAAAACAAAAAATAGGGTCTTGCCGTAAGGAAGTCACGGTAACTTGAATGCCTGCACTTTGAAATGCCGACTCTGGTGTTGTCTCAGGATTTCACACACACACACACACACACACACACTGCCCCGCCTCAGGTTCTGGCACTACTCTGCATGTAGGAATCTCTGCCCTTACCTGCACTGGAATGTGTTCAGTGTTTGCCACAGATGGTCAAAATCCCAATTCAAAGCAGGACAATTATTTAAAGTAAAATCCAGAGTTTCCTCAGAACAGAAGACCAAAGACATCTCTGTACACTGGCAGCTCCCAATTCCTCCCTGAAGCTCTGAGAGAATGGACTGGCAGGCTGGCAGGACAAGAGCGCACTTGGCAAACGTAAACATGGATTCATACATCCCCTGGGAGCTGTGGGGAGCTAGCACCATCAATTTCCTAAGACTAGAGAGGTAATTTTTATTGAACTCTCTTAAAGCCTCCCTTGTGGGAA